AATCGTTTTTCCGAAGTGACCATGCATTGCCTCGACACAGGACACACCTTTGCATGGGATCAAACAAGCATCTTCGGAGTTTGCCACTTCAAAAATGGCCGAGGATTCCTCGAAGCCATGCACTCCAACGATTCATGCACTAACCGGCACATCAAGTTGGATGGTATTTATAAACACATCAAAGAACGATGGAAAATGCATAGGCCACAGGACAGAGACTAATTGAGACCAAAACTACCAATCATGTCTCACTTTGTATAACTATTGATTTTTTCGGCAGTTTTGAAATTTTAGTTGTTCGTTTCACTTTTCTTGTTAGTCCGAAGACGGGTTGGGGTACCAAACCCGAAAATTCACTCATTAAAGTTATTTTCTCCCAAAGGAACATGTGCAAATTTTTGTCTCCACCTCCTTCAAGGTGGATATTGTGAGAATGCGCCCACGACTGAAACTTATGAAGGAGTAGTTGACAACCGCAAGCATCATTGGCATCCGTCTGCGCACCCGAAAGCCCCAACGAATGCAATGGTGGGCGCGGCAATCGACCACTCCTGCAGAAAGGGACCGGGACTCGCAACTTTGCCCGTATATCGTGAAAGGTGCTTTCCCTGCTGCGCGGTGAAGCAGGCACGCCTAAAATCGCATACCGTGCGGGCGAAAAGGGGGGTAGCAGGGGGAAGCAGAGAGGCCCTGCGGAGCATAGCGCCAGATGCGAACGGCAAGTGCACAGTATGGGGAGAGGGGGGGGCAGCAGCTCTCACCTGCACTGAACGAAATAGAATTACGTCCTGTAAAGACATTCAAACAAAAATACTACTGAAGTCAACTTCGGCGGAACAGGGGACAGGGCACTACAAGGTGGGACATTTCCGGAGGTTAAGGGCAGAAACACGAAAGAACCCTGCATGAATTACGCGGGAAAACTGTCATCTGCGGGAGTGGAATGAGTGGGCCGGGGGAGGGGGGGGAGAACATATACGCAGATGATCATATTGTGTCTACGACGTGCAGCTAAACCCGCAGTAAGACCTTGGGTGGCCTTGCCGGCTACTAATCAAAACACAAAACAGTAACAAATCCTCCCACAGAGTGCGCAAAGGTATGTATTAAGGCGTTTTACAGGGGGGAGATAGAATGATGGGCGAACGGGCAACTAGAGCGTGCTTAGTGTGCGGGGGAGTTCTATATTACACCAGTAACGTGTTAGAGCGCAGACACAGAGGTACACTGTAAAATCTTCAGACTTACCCTCAGCATTTGCTACAAGGGGTGAATCTGCCGTTTGCAGAAGAAAAAATTAGGAGGGAAAGAACGTTTAAAAATAGCAAACAGTTAGGTGTAACATGCCGGTAGAGCCAAAGAGAGCAAGGAGAAGATAGAGAGAGAGAAATTGTATTGAAAAGCACATTTTCCTCCTTAGGGTTGAAATAAAACCATTCTGATTCTAATTACTTGGACTTCCTAGGTAGCTTGGAGTCCATGCTATTAACAGAACACCTCAGCGACTATGGTCGGTTTAATATCCGAAACAATGCCGTCCATGCCTTAAAGGATCGGAATCAGTTTTCATCTCTGTCCTCTGAACATAAGAAAGCACCTAAGAACTTAAAAACTGATGAAAATATAATCATACTTCCCGCCGACAAAGGAGGCTCAACTGCTATCTTGAACAAATTCGACGACAAGCATAAAATGCTGTCACCATTAAAGGATAGCTCAATCCCTACGAAGGAGAAATTGCGTTAGAAAGGCAGCTTGACGCTTATTTTGGCAGTTCTTTATCCACAAAAGAAACTCGCGTGCTTTATAAAGGAAGGAAGGCGGAGCCTCATCAGCTATCACACCGCCAACAACACGCGCAGTTAGCAAAACAGACCACCTAAATTACGACCTCCGTTCTTCGGGCAGGGAGCTACGAATGGCTACCAGTCACCCTAGAAAGTATACCCTAGAAAAACAGGTTGTTTGGTATTGACATCCTTAATAGTGGAGCTTCGTTCGGCAGTAAGTAGTCCCACTAAAATCAATGGCAGCGGCTTTCAAGTGATTGCGTGGATTGTTCTCACGCAATTCAGTTTTGATTGTTTCGTCTTGGTCGCGAAGCCATCCATTTCAAGTTTTACGTTAGGAGA